AAAGACCGCCCCCACGGCGGGCCTTCTGTAAGGTTACTTTCAAACGCGCCGCCCCGGCGGCCATAAATCTGAAAGGAGGGGGGCGGCCGCCCCCACCGCCCCCCCCACCCCTCCAACGTGGACCTGGTGTCAGTAATGTCTTCCGACCAGTTCAGACGAACGATTCAAACTTGCGATCCTAGTCAATTTCACAAAGTTGCAGTCAGTTTCCAAGCAGTTTCAAAACGGTTTGCACTTGCAGTTTACGCTATAATGACACCACTCCAAGCAAAGCTGAAGTGAAATGTCGAATATTAAATGATTCGACATGTGCAAAACAGTTCAGTATAAGGAAATACTCTACAAGCGACATGTGTAGCACGTTGCACATGTGTAAGGAAACACATGTGTAAGGAAACCAGCGGTAGACTATTTAGGAAGACAACTGCCGCTCATACAAATTAACCACAATTAATTTTTTGGTGTTCACGGCATTTTCCATAAACATGGCAAAAGTGTCTGCAAAAACGTCGAAACAGCCTCGCGGCAAAATGTATCGGCGTCTAAACGGCGTGGTGAGGAAATGTTTCGCGGCGTAGTTTTCTCTGGATTGAATGTCCCGCGAGGAAACGTGGCGCGGCGAGATGTCCTTTCAAGGAATTGTCTGCGACCAAAATTAATGCAACTTGTTGTCCTCACCGAAATGTCTCGGAGACATTTGGTTTCTAAGCTAAATGAATCCAGGGAAGAGCAGTGGGTAGGCCGATCGAACCAGCACCAGTTACACAATTTTTATCTGCAGCAGCGTGGCATCCGCGTTTCATGATCTGCAGCAGCGCATCACCTCTACTCGGCATCAAAACCCTGCAGTCGGCCTGGCGCCTCATGCGATCTACTGCGGTTTACACCAAGCGGACCTACAGCGGTGTAGGCGTGCAAAAATACGTCAGTCTCCTGTAGCTGCGCGTTCATGATGGCGGCTGCTGCTCCCAGAACTGTTGATGTGAGCTTTAGCGCATCACAACCGCACGTGCTACTGGACCGTATTCGCTGATTTGAGCGATTTCCGATATAAACGCATGGGCAAAACTCATGAAAAGCGCAAGCATGCACCAAACATGCAGTGTAAGGGCTGAGCGGCGTAGCATAAAGACTGCTACGCGCTATTTTAAGAAAAAAATCACGTATTAAAATCGGTGTATTTGTTGTGTCGAATTTTCTACCAATTACAACATCATGCAAAAACCGTGTCTTTTATTTTTTTTCCACTTTTGCCCACCGGTGGTCAGTTAATTGACCACTGCAAAGACCTCCTTTTAAAGTCCTCGTTGCCTACTATATGATGCTGTTTAGGTCAGTTGTTGTTTGTCGAATTATTACATATTTAAACTTTTCACGATTAGGACCTTCTACGCCCAACGGTGTTGCTAAATACCCAAATCACCGCCGGTGACTTATGGTCAATACAAGCACATAAAAAATTCCCTTTCATAATATGAAATTTCTCATCCGAAAATCCAAGTTTTCACGAAGAAACTCCCACCAGTCTGGTAGTGTGCTTTGGAAGGTTAAAAAACGCCTTCGCTTGTCTCCATTCTGCGGCAACAAATATTTTTCTGCAGTAATTGGAACAATTGCAACAATTATTTTTCTGCAACGGGTGGGCAACGGGTGGGCAACGCAGGACAATGGTTGGACAACGCAGGACAACGGGCAAACAACGCAGGACAACGGGTGGACAACGCAAGACAACGGGCAAACAAAGCAGGACACCGGGCAAACAACGCAGGACAACGGGTGGACAACGCAAGACAACGGGCAAACAACGCAGGACAACGGGTGGACAACGCAGGACAACGGGCAAACAACGCACGACAACGGGCAAACAACGCAAGACAACGGGCAAACAACGCAGGACAACGGGCAAACAACGCAGGACAACGGGTGGACAACGCAAGACAACGGGCAAACAACGCAGGACAACGGGTGGACAACGCAGGACAACGGGTGGACAACGCAAGACAACGGGCAAACAACGCAGGACAACGGGCAAACAACGCAGGACAACGGGTGGACAACGCAAGACAACGGGCAAACAACGCAGGACAACGGGTGGACAACGCAGGACAACGGGCAAACAACGCAGGACAACGGGTGGACAACGCACGACAACGGGCAAACAACGCAGGACAACGGGCAACCAACGCAGGACAACGGGTGGACAACGCAAGACAACGGGCAAACAACGCAGGACAACGGGTGGACAACGCAGGACAACGGGTGGACAACGCAAGACAACGGGCAAACAACGCAGGACAACGGGTGGACAACGCAGGACAACGGGCAAACAACGCAAGACAACGGGCAAACAACGCAAGACAACGGGCAAACAACGCAGGACAACGGGTGGACAACGCAGGACAACGGGTGGACAACGCAGGACAACGGGCAAACAACGCAGGACAACGGGCAAACAACGCACGACGACGGGCAAACAACGCAGGACAACGGGTGGACAACGCAAGACAACGGGCAAACAACGCAGGACAACGGGCGAACAACGCAGGACAACGGGTGGACAACGCAAGACAACGGGCAAACAACGCAGGACAACGGGTGGACAACGCAAGACAACGGGCAAACAACGCAGGACAACGGGTGGACAACGCAGGACAACGGGTGGACAACGCAGGACAACGGGCAAACAACGCAAGACAACGGGCAAACAACGCAAGACAACGGGCAAACAACGCAGGACAACGGGTGGACAACGCAAGACAACGGGCAAACAACGCAGGACAACGGGTGGACAACGCAGGACAACGGGTGGACAACGCAGGACAACGGGTGGACAACGCAAGACAACGGGCAAACAACGCAGGACAACGGGTGGACAACGCAAGACAACGGGCAAACAAAGCAGGACACCGGGCAAACAACGCAGGACAACGGGTGGACAACGCAAGAGAACGGGCAAACAACGCAGGACAACGGGTGGACAACGCAGGACAAAGGGCAAACAACGCACGACAACGGGCAAACAACGCAGGACAACGGGTGGACAACGCAAGACAACGGGCAAACAACGCAGGACAACGGGTGGACAACGCAAGACAACGGGCAAACAAAGCAGGACACCGGGCAAACAACGCAGGACAACGGGTGGACAACGCAAGACAACGGGCAAACAACGCAGGACAACGGGTGGACAACGCAGGACAACGGGCAAACAACGCACGACAACGGGCAAACAACGCAGGACAACGGGTGGACTACGCAAGACAACGGGCAAACAACGCAGGACACCGGGCAAACAACGCAGGACAACGGGTGGACAACGCAAGACAACGGGCAAACAACGCAGGACAACAGGTGGACATCGCAGGACAACGGGCAAACAACGCACGACAACGGGCAAACACCGCAGGACAACGGGTGGACAACGCAAGACAACGGGCAAACAACGTAGGACAACGGGCAAACAACGCAGGACAACGGGTGGACAACGCAAGACAACGGGCAAACAACGCAGGACAACGGGTGGACAACGCAGGACAACGGGTGGACAACGGGCAAACAACGCAGGACAACGGGCAAACAACGCACGACGACGGGCAAACAACGCAGGACAACGGGTGGACAACGCAAGACAACGGGCAAACAACGCAGGACAATGGGCAAACAACGCAGGACAACGGGTGGACAACGCAAGACAACGGGCAAACAACGCAGGACAACGGGTGGACAACGCAAGACAACGGGCAAACAACGCAGGACAACGGGTGGACAACGCAGGACAACGGGTGGACAACGCAGGACAACGGGCAAACAACGCACGACAACGGACAAACAACGCACGACAACGGGCAAACAACGCAGGACAACGGGTGGACAACGCAAGACAACGGGCAAACAACGCAGGACAACGGGTGGACAACGCAGGACAACGGGCAAACAACGCAGGACAACGGGTGGACAACGCAAGACAACGGGCAAACAACGCAGGACAACGGGTGGACAACGCAAGACAACGGGCAAACAAAGCAGGACACCGGGCAAACAACGCAGGACAACGGGTGGACAACGCAAGACAAAGGGCAAACAACGCACGACAACGGGTGGACAACGCAAGACAACGGGCAAACAACGCAGGACAACGGGTGGACAACGCTAGACAACGGGCAAACAAAGCAGGACACCGGGCAAACAACGCAGGACAACGGGTGGACAACGCAAGACAACGGGCAAACAACGCAGGACAACGGGTGGACAACGCAGGACAACGGGCAAACAACGCACGACAACGGGCAAACAACGCAGGACAACGGGTGGACAACGCAAGACAACGGGCAAACAACGCAGGACACCGGGCAAACAACGCAGGACAACGGGTGGACAACGCAAGACAACGGGCAAACAACGCAGGACAACGGGTGGACAACGCAAGACAACGGGCAAACAACGCAGGACAGCGGGCAAACAACGCAGGACAACGGGTGGACAACGCAAGACAACGGGCAAACAACGCAGGACACCGGGCAAACAACGCAAGGTAACGACTGAACAACGAAGGGACGCTCATGGACAACTGGGAGACAACTGCGGTCAACGTAAACAACATGCGTGATTCCGCGTTCTAAAAAATTGACGTGTAGAAAACGTGCCATACCTAAAAAAATAGTCCAAGTTAGTACTGAGCAGCGCTGCATGACGTCGGTATGCGCAGATCAAAAGCACCGCCTTCGCAAGAGCACCGCGTCATGTAAGTATCAAAGTTTTCTTCACACTGTGCCAGTTGAATGGACTTTTAAAACTTTAGAAAGGATACTTGTCACTTGACAGCGATTGTCTATAATTACATGTCGATGAATTATTACAAGCAAATGAAGCAATCGTATACAAAAGGATTGCTTGTGCAGTTTTAAGCCTTAGGGCGATAAAAACGGAGGAAAACCGGTTCGCGTCGAATAAAGAATTTCCTTCCCCGCGGTTGGCATTGTCACTTTCTTCGTCCACCGAGCAGGCTTGTCGAGTCGGCTGACTGCTCAGATCTTCTTACAATTATGAACAACCTGCACCCTTTATTAATTACGCTTTCATCAGTATTGTTGGCTTGCTCTAAACAATCAGCAGTTCTTGCACAAGGTACGACAAGAATCCGGATACTCTTACATTTGTGGAAATGCGCATAAGTTGCCTACACATCGATTTATATTTTTACAGCTTTTATCCAATCGATTCATATTTTTAATGCTTTTATCCAGATGATCACGATGGGATCGATTCTTACATAGCAGAAAGCGGTTGGTAATTTATATTTTCACAAATTCCATCTAAAAAGTGTACAGAACTTAGTAAGGACAATTTACCAAACGTAGAGCGTAGTTAACGTACAGGTAATCGTATTGACAGATAAACTGCATCTCATCAAGAGAGACGTCAAACACGGAAAACCGGGTAAGCGCATCAGCAGCAGCCTCCCGCTGCCGTATATTTCATCCGTGCGGCAACCGATCCCCGACGATGATTGTACCGATATCGATAACGAAGATGACAGCGATATCGTTCCGTCCTTCAAAAAAGCGACGGCTCCTTGCCAGGTCAAACCCACTCCGCCGTTAGCGACACGACGAATATTCGTTACACCCGGAAAATGGCCTGTGACGCAACGGCCACCGCCCCGAGTTACCGAGCCGGACGACGAACCAGACGAGCCATCGACTAGGAGAAGAACTTCAGCGACAACGCCTGATGCACCTGACGATGAGACAACTCCACGACGAACCACGACAACGACGAGAAGAACGACGCCGACGGCAACGGAAGAAACAACGGAAGAGCCCACAACAACACCGACCACGACGACCACTAGAAAAACGACAACTACGCCAACTACTATCGAAGAACCGGAAACGACTACTACGCCGAAACGTAGGCGGTCGAGAAAACGGAGAGCAACAACGCCCACAACCACAACGACGACCTCGAGTCCGGATTATTGCGACGACGACGACTGTGAAGATGAGCCGACCACAGTGACAACCACCACCAGACGGCGTTCCCGGAAAACCCGAAGGCGAACCACTCTGGAGACTACCACGCGGTAATATGAAGCGCCTGCAATCCGCTTCGGCGCTTCGCTGCAGAAAACCGGTGACTTGGGTATCTGGCGAATAACACCTTCAACCGACAAAAAATGTGTAGAATGATAAAATTGTGCAGCGTCAAATTTTCCCGCTTGTTTTTTTGGCCTTTCTCGATGCTGGAAGAGTATCAACCCAAACTGGTTCCCTGACACGTTTCGTTCGTTCGTTTACGAGAAAATTACCCGGCGAAACAGTTTGCCTGAAAATTGGCCTTGCGGTTCTTTTCCAATAAGGAAAAGTACAAGAGAAACCGAGCGGACGGTTTTGCCTTTTACATCTGCAACATCAGTAAAGTATAGACAAACCTAATGACGCCTTTGTATGCAGGGAAGAAGAGACGACCGAAGCTCCACCACCTGTTCCACGAGGAGCCATCGACCCCTCGCGTACGCAACGATGTCCCAGCAACAAACTAGTGAAAATTCACAATCGGCAGTGGTTTACGCAGTCCTCCATCACCACAGACGAGGAGGGCACAAAGACCTTTATGAAGACCTCCATGATCTACTCCAAAGTGTGGTCTATGCCGAGTCGCGGTAGGTTTTATGAAGACAATTTCTTGACCGTAACCGGTAAATATACGGTTCTGATAACGGGATGGTGTCCTGCAGGGGAAACAAAAGACTATTTAGCATCGACCATCGTACATCGACAGTTCGCTGGAGATGTCCAGGCAGTGGCTACTCTGACGTTGCTACCATCGACACGAATATTTCAAACTGAATACAAAGTCCAGAGCATCTTCAATGGAGAAGTGTATCGAACCAAAGCGGAGACAAGATACGTGGAATGTGTAGATTTTACGGACTCGCCAAATTATCGTAAAGTCTGAGACAGCGACAGATTTTTGTTCGCAAAGTCTGAATCTGATTCGGCTAGAAAGTTTAGCAAATTCCGGAAAATAAAAAAACCCACACAAGTTCCGGTGTTGCTTTTGTCATTTTTTTTGCCGCCACGTCGTCGATACAGCGTATTATAATTGGTACACAAACTATTTTTTGCAGGCAAAACGATTTTATCAAGCTAACTTGATAGTGAGTGGATGCACTGATGACTGAGGTTAAGGAAGAAAATTGCGTATTTGTCTTGACCTCCTTTAAAATTCTCAAATCAGCTCCATCCGTTAACTTTTTCTCCCTGTCAGGTTTCGAAATTACTGTATACAAACGTACATCGAAAAAGAATAAAATGTTGAAAACTTGTCATCTAATACTCATGCGTCACGTGTTCGTCACTTGTATGCAGTTAGATACAAACCCGCTAGTTTAGTAGCAATGGCATGTGCCGCGCTGGATCGGCGTTGCCACAAGCGGTACCAACCGGTTCTTGCATGGAACTGCAACACATTAATTATGGTGTCAGTTTCACAAAGGCAGCAACTTTTTATATCAAAGAACAGTTGAATTGGTGCAGCCGCTGCTACAACAGTCCAAAGCAGATCGTACTTGGCACTATGCGTAGCAGTCGCGGTAGTTTTGCGCCTTATCACATTTCCTTGTCGACCGTCGCGGTATGGATTGTCATCCTTGCAGCACCACTTTCAGGTAACTCTTTATACTTATGAATTTTCGGCTGATTTTAAGGTGTACCGAACACTGTTTACACTGTTTCTTTTGGACTATGAAAGTATTTTCAAGACAGCCGACTTTCTTGTTCATTGCCGACTTTTTTGTTCAATGAACAAAAAAGTCGGCTGTCTTGAAAATACTTTCATAGTCCGAATATCTATATTCAACTACAGTAATTCAACGTATTCAATCTACGTAATCTTGAGTTTGGTGTGTTGGATCAAATTGGAAGTTGTTACAGGCGCAAAAATTCGTTCTGTGCAAAGTTGGTACTTTTCTGAGTGCAAACCTAATGAGTGTTTGTAACAGGAGATGAGTCCAATGGAGACGAGGGAGATGCAACTGGACCTGCGACTGCTCCGCGACTGTTCCAGGATGATCTCTTAGGATGCGACGCCAGCAGCAGTCCGCCGTGTCGGTTTCAGTCACGGCTCACTCCTTTTATTGCGTCACCTGATAACGGGCAGTACATAATACCTTTTACCATCAATTTTGACAACCTGCTCGAAGAAAGCCGTCCGAAAGGTACAGTTCGTCCAGTTGCCTCCAGGTCGTTCAAAGCAAACAGGCTCAATGTGAACAGTGTTTACTGTTTACTGCAGAAAAACTGCAGTAAAGCGAGGAACAACTTGTCCAACTTGCTAGCCATTATATGTTCGATTTTAAAGCTTGTATCCTGTTCTCTGTAGATCTTTCTCCGTTCTATCAGTTTATAATCGAAGCCCTGGCCAACATCGAGTTGAGCATTGACCGTTGTGCCACCTTCCGACAAACTGCCGATGTGGAGAGCATGATGGGCGACGTGCAGTTTAACATGCTGCGTGTAACCGCTCACGCGGGTCCCTTTTGTGCGGCACGATTCGGGGGTACCGAAGCCGACGCCGAACACGAAATCACCTGAATGAGCTGTGCGTGGGCAACCAGTCCGCGGTAATTCAGCGTTTGTTCATGTTGGCCATCGGACTACCGCATGAGCATGTCCGACCAGACCGGGATGATAACATTAGCATAAACCTGGAAAACGTTCCACCAGGTAAATATCTCAATGGACTTTATCCTCACTGGATTGATACTTACCGGATCGTGATGCAGTGTTGCTACTTGTCTTATAGAAAGAAGAACGGAATTTGATAAAATCGGTACAGCTGCTCTCGATATGGGTGATTATGATTACGAATCGCTTCTGCATCCGGATTCAAATTTTCTCGCACTGGATAAAACATTGCCGACAATTTCCGCCAAAAATAAAAATTTTAAGATTTGGGGAGCGACCAAATTAAGTGACAAGGATGTCATCAAACTAAAGCACCTACTGTGTGGAGGTAGCAGCAAGCACTTAAAATAAAACTTAGTATGTATAAATGATTATAGTTTCAAAATTAATTCAGAATTTTGTTATTAGTGCTATATGTCTTACTTTTTATGTCAGCTGTGTTGTTTCGGCTGCTAACTACTCTGTAGAACGAAAACATCGTCTCGCCGCCCAGTTATAATTACATGTTACCTGTAGAATAACTTATTTACAGCTGAAAAACTGCAAATTAATTCAAATTATTCCATTGCAATGATAATTTTGTAGAAAAGCTGCCGTCCACCAGCAAAGCCACAACTGCCAGCAGCATGAATGGGGACGCCACTTCCACTTCTGTCACAAAGAGGCTCTTCCATCTTCCACGGAAACTCAACCGGAGAACAGACGGAAAAAGCAGTTTCATTTCCCCGTCCGTTGGGGATCTAGTGGTTACGGATAACGATGGGAGCGATACCATTCAGCCATCCGCCATCACGGCAATCCCACTATCCGAAAACACCACACCGTCGTTAGATACCAAACCAGATGTGGCCACTTTGCCATTCGTTTCAGTGAATCCAGAGGAACCGACTGATGACGAGAGAAGAAGCAAGACAGATATGCGGACTGTGACCGTTACAAAAACCGTGACAGAAACGATGACACAGGTGACAACCATGCGGGTGGACGATAACAAGGTTACGGACAAAATGTTTCCCATAACGAAAACCCAGGATGTTGTACATAGTACAGTAGTCAGCAGACGGCCTAAGAGACCGACAACCACCGAAGTACCAGACACCACCACTCAGAATTTGTAAGTACAAGTGTTTCTTTTCAGAATCTTTGTACAACGAATAAAACTGCAAATGGTTTACTGCAATTTGCAGCGACATGCCGGAAACGTCGGCACTGCCTGCAGGGATCCCCATACCGGAAATGGCAATCCTACCCACTCCCACACAGAACTGCCCAGCTCGACAAATGATGAAACTGTACATTAACCAGACACTGGCCCGCACGTCTATACTGGTCGACGGTCTGCACACGCACACCATCCGAGATTATTCTAATTATTACTACTGGAACTGGTTTACACCAGACGCAGGTAATGGAGTACCGTAAAACCCGATATTAACGCCCCCCCCCCCCCCGTAATAAACGCCCCCTGTGGTTTTAAACGCCCCCTCCCGAAGCTCTCGAAAAAATAAAGGCCCAGGGCGTTAATATCGGGTTTTACGGTATATTGCTTATTACACAACCACCAAGAAGACTTTTGTGTGCAGACGCTTGAAGTAGATTACCAAGCTTCTGCGCTGCCTGGTTTTTCCGAACAATTAACGAGTTCAATCATAATAGTCAAGACAGTTTCTATTTTGTTCATGGAATATTATTTAGTCGTAGCAGGGACTCAGTTTTTCAAAGGCGGTAGATCTTACGGCGATTCTCTTTTGCAGAGGATGAAAGGGATTATTTAGCGTACACCGTTCACTATCCATTGTTTAACGGTGCCATTGCGACGGTTAGAACAATGAAATTCGAGGCTTCAACACGGGTCTTTTCCACAAAATACAGAATCCAGCAGTTGCCGAACGGTGGCAGTTTAATGCGGAAAAAGAACGAAACGCGTTATGTTGAGTGTGCTGATTATGTTGATGAACATGTAAGGAGATGACCGTTTGCATTCTGGTGGTGATTTTCGTACGTTTTGGCGTCTATATATAAGAGGCCGTGCGAAGAGACAATTGTTGATGCACGAGGCTGCTACGCACAATAAAAAGATCGAGACGAGCACAGCACTTTTATGAATTTCTCCATGCAGTTGTCAGAGTAAAACAAAATTAAAAGATTTAAATTCTTTTTATCATTTTTTTGAACAAGGCTAATAGCCTGTCTTTGTTCAAGAATCGCCTTCATAACTGTATGACCTTTACACAGCAAAAGTTTAGAGAAAAAAAATGGTGGCTTTCGATGGATCCAAAGCTCTTCAAACTTCTTATATATTTTATTTTCGTCGTTATTGTCCAGGTTTAGTTCAGCCGTTTTCAAAAGTTTCGACCGTAACTGCTGGGACAATAATGTGAGTACTCGAACAGTTTACTGTTTGACATTTAGTACGTATAACAACTTTTTACTGGTTAAACTTGGTTTAGTAAACCGGGCCGGAAATATTTCTTGCTGTGGCAATTTTGAATGTAGCAAACTGCCAGTTGAAAGCAATGGGGTATTATAGGGCATACACTTTGCGTAATGGCACAGTTACAAGAGCAGTCAAAATATTAATACAACACAGTGAAAGTATTAATTTAGGTTAAAAGCTTTATTTGACATCTCACGTGAATCATACCTATCTAGTGTGCATGTAAATTATGGAGTATGTACGAGCAAATTAGAGTATGTACGAGACGACGTACAAATTATGTACGTAATAACCCAAGATGCATGTTTTTCATAAATTGATAACATTATAAAATTAATGGCTGCCGGACTCTGCAATGTGAGACTGCTGATTTATATTTTGGGCAAAATACTCTAAAACGCAGAACACATGCTGCCGGAAGTATAAAATCTGACGTCAATATGAGCATGTGCACGTGTATTGTCAAATGAACAACCGTAACGGAAAACGAGCATTTGGTCCGTTGTACTGTTATCCCCGCGGCACTGGGCTAATAAAATTGTGGTGTATACTGCGCAGTCATCGATGAATGCAGATACATACATTTTCTTATTGGGAAATGTATAAGGAAGTTTATGCAGATGATTAACTGTGCTCCCTTTAAATTACAGTTGCGTATTAGGTGCGTTTTCCGCGCTTTATTTTGGTGTGTGTGTCATAAAATATTAACCATAAGCGTATGTGGAAAATTAATAATAATTTAGAAGACAACAATTGTACTGCGCGGAACTGGTGGAAATGAAAAAGATTAATTTCGCCTTTAGCAATATCAACCGGTTATGTCTCATTCGCAGATTCGTACGTACGTTGATACATTTAACAAGAAACTTGAGAATGTAGCAAATTTCTGGAAGTTAGCAATAACAGCATATGGAGATTGTCTTGCACGCAGTAGATTACACATGAATATACCGCACATTAACACTATGTGCTTCAGCAAAGACGGTTTATGCTCGGTGCGAACTGCCGTTTCAAGCATTGCTGTGTGTATATTCCTGGTGTATGGGACGCGTTTAGGTAAGGATGCCAATATGACAATATATAACATATTAACAATACTTGTAACGTACCTTGTTATTTAATGGTCATCAGAGGTACTTTGTCGTCAAAATGTGCACTGTGTGCACATAACTTAGGTGCTTCCAAAATGCAGTACTCCGAAGCTATAACAGTGTCGTGTAGTGTCTGCAGAGGATGGTGACTGGGACAGCGATTCCGACACTAAACCCGGCCAGCCGCTGTATCAGGATGATCTACTGGGATGTGATGCCACCAAGAATCCTCCATGTCCGCTGCAGACATCCCTCACGCCTTTCCCCAAGTTGCCCGACGATGAAAAGTACACTATTCCGTTTTCCATCAATTTTTTTCCAGGTGAAGTCAAACGAATTATACAGTTAGGTCCATACCATATGCAGAATTCTAAGTAATATGACGCTACTGTAGAAAACCCGCCGTTCTACCAGTTCGTCATCGAGGAGGCCTTACCGGAGATTGAAGTGGTCATGGACCGGTGCGCGGTTTTTCGCGGCATCGATCAGGTCGAAAGCATCGTTACCAGCTTCAATATGCTGCGCATTAAGTCCGGTCCGCATTGTGCGGCGAGATTTGGCGGAAATGCAGCGGACGCCGAACACACGATTGTCTTGAATGAGACGTGCGTCCGCAAACAGGTGGCTGTGGTGCGGCGGTTGTTTCTATTGGCCATGGGTCTGCCACATGAGCATGTACGACCGGACCGGGATGACTACATCAACATCAATCTGGACAATGTAAAACCCGGTATGATATCAGCATTAACGTTACCATTTAAAAAGTTTACACTAAACAATCTGCGTACTTGTAATTATCATGTTTATAATTTTAAGTTATTGTGGTACGTGGGATTACGATACGTTGTACATAATCTTGCGCTACTGTAATTAGCATCCGTTCATTAATAACTCAAGTACCGCGCAGAATGCACCTCCGTTAGCGGAAGTAAGTCATACTATGCAGTCTTAACGTGCATCATGATCTGTTGCGAAAACGTTTTTAATGGGGCGAATCTAACAGCTTTTATAAGATCGTTGTCGCATACTGTAACTAAAAAAATGATTAACTTTGATGACGATTTAAAATGATTAATTTAATGAATAATTTTGTATGTGTTTGAGAGCGGTTTTTGTAAACCTCCGTATCAGAAGTCCGGTTGTCAAACGATCTTCTTCCAACTTCGGGCATAAATAATGTTTAGATTGCCTTTTAATACGGAAACAGATCATCAACTGCATCAGTATCCACGACATTAGCGCTAAACGGGTCTTTTTAGGTAGGCAGGCAGAATTTAACAAAATCGAAGGCAAAATCCTGGATACGGGCGATTACGACTACGAATCGCTTCTGCATCCTGCCGCGAACTTTTTGTCGACGGATGACAAACTTCCAACAATCACAGCGAAGAAGGGCGCTAGCAAAATCGGCGGAGGAGACAATTTAAGTGACGGTGATGCGACGAAATTAAGGCATCTTATCTGCGGAGGTAAAACGCCAGCGTTGATTCACCTCAAACTACAATATATACTGATGTATCCGAAATAGTAATTATGTGAATAGAACATATTGACAGAACTGCTGCCAGCCAAATCTAAGCCGACGGATCCACCAGCAACCACGTCCACAACTGAAGAATCAACGCCAAAGAAAAAAGAAATAACCTCTCCCATTCCGATTAACGCTAGCCGTTCTCGTAAACGCGCTAGCAGCTTAGCTGCTAACGCGTTGCCGACAACTACAACACCGACAACAACTACAACACCGACAACAACTACAACAACGATGCCGACAACTACAACACCGACAACAGACAATGAGGAAGGCAACGGCGTGCGGCCGTCTAAATCCACGGTGAAATCGACGACGTCAACCATCGTCACACCAACACTCGCGGAAAGTCCCCGTGTGGTCACTCAACAAACACCCGCAACTGCCAGGAAAACCACCGAGCCGAATGACGATGGAGGCGACGCCGAAGCCACAACACAAGCGTCAAAACCGACGTCAACCGAGCGGAAACCGATCCCGGTAACTGATAGACAACCTGGGGAAGTGGTAGAGTTTGTCGAACCGGTAACCGTTGGGCTTGAATCGCCGATTCGAAATGTGTGGAAAACGACACCCAGCACGAGCCTCCCGTCTACAGTGACAACAGACGAGACTGACGTACGCGAGGAAACAACAGAGACAACAACCAGGAAGACGAAGAAAAGGAAACCAACTACATTAGCCACAACACCACAACCCACCGATGACGAAGATATCGTGACGAACACCCCGTCCAAAGGTCACGAAAGCATGTAAGGCCACCATAATACTCTCCTGTTAGATCTGAATATGTTTCTAATGCACGCGCTTTTACGATGTCAATAGGTATTCTTGATTCAGTATCAATGAAAGTATTTTGAAAGAAGGTTTTATGTGCGGCTAGAATTGTCACGTACGGTAGCACGACCACGTGGAAAGAAGAAGAACTGCCGTTTTGTTTCGAAAATTTCCCGAAGAGCATTTTTTATGCGCCGTGCATTAAGCACATTGCAGCAGGATTGGCGTAAAGGGAATAGTGACATCCGACAACTGGGTTAGCAATTTTCGTATTTTCAGCTTGGTTATGCAGAACCCGCAACAGGGACTACCCCACCCTCCGGTTATTGCCCCCACTCGCACAATACAAACCTGCCGTGAAGGGCAGTATGTGCTGGTGTACAACAATCAGACTTACGGACGGTCCATAACGCAGACTCTAGAAGGGGGCGCTGTTATTCACACCCTAAGGACGTACACCATGCTGAACTCTTACAACTGGTTTCCTTATGAAGCGAGTAAGTGGCGTTTATTCTGTTTATTCTAGTAAGGGTAGCCTCTAATATCCGACTGTGTGCTTGCTTGAATAGGTGAGTCGAAGGATTACTTGGATACCACGGTAAATAATCCCGGGTTCACTGGCATCGTATTGGATGTCAGTACTTTGAGGTTTGCAGTGTCTACGCGGGTATTCGAAACGCAATACCAAGTGGAGAAGCTGGTTAACGGCGAAGTACAGCGGAAGAAGAACGAAACGAGAATTGCTAAATGTGTTAATGAGGATGAAATTAATTGGGAGAAGAAGGGTTAACAGGCTGTAATTCGAGCGGGAATGTTCTTTATCGAAACATAGTTAGCAAAATGTGTGATATATGTAGCTTTATTGGTCAAATCATACTTGGGGGCAAAGTAAAGAAAGAAACATGTATACTACAACAAGAAAATCTCATTTAATTTATCCAGCCCTTCCATCGTGCCAAGCACTGACGCCGCGTTACCCCGCTGAATCTCTATCGACAAGCGCTGTCTTAAAAATTCATGCGAGCGTGCTTCGCCAGTTTGCTGCTGAAGTATCTTCCCCAGTTCTTTGATAAATGCGATTGCTGACGGTCCCCATGGACCCATGGTTTCAAAGGCAATTGGAACGAATAGGTAACGGCCAGCTAGGTAAATATAGAGTCTGGATTTCTTATCCTCAGCTTGCACGGCGGCCGCTCCCACTGTGGTCGAAGTTGCTTTGACATGTGACGGCGCAACCGTGTCTACACATGTCACGTCCCATGCGAGACACAGCCCGCGTTTCCACGCAAATGTCGTGCAACCGTCTGGGCGGCGTTCCGTAGTGTGAGAGGTTCCACGCGGCTCCAGTTTTGCGGGCACACCGACGGACACACATCCTCGGCAGATGATACTGTTAAGCCCGCCGTGGCGCGGGTGCCTTCCGGCGGAGAAATCACATGACAGCCCGTGGTGACCGTAACCATCCACGGGTTTGAGACATTTGACGCAGTCGTGAGGTTCACAGATCGTAGCGCCGAGGCGGAGACCAACGCTGATCTTCAATTCGTCGTCGCCCAGCAGGTTACCAATGTGAGCGGATGGCAGGGCGTTCAACCAGATCCCAGCTTCAGGTCTGGACTGAGCAAGCAGGCGCGCTTTATTTAGCTCGTCACCCTGAAACACCTCGAGCAGGGAGGAGAGGGAAACGTTGCATAATGGCAAGTCCCAAGCCTTTTGGGACTTCCGGTATGCTAACTCTGGAATCTCTGGCTGGCGGGCTTTCAGTTTCCATGACTCCACTGCACCAGAAACATCGACAACACCGTGGTCAGGCAGTAATGAAGAGAGCAAGCCGGATACGGAATGAATCGAAGCCAAGAAGGCTGGTAAAGATAATTCTTCCGACCGACGAATGCCAATTCCACCTCTGCTAACCGGGAGGGTTGCCTGACGCCAAGGCGGGTAGTCGTTGTGGTTGGTTCGTACGTTCGACAAATTCTGGAAACAAGCGCGCATCGTTTCATCCAGCTGGTATAGCAGGGTAGGATATTTCCATGCATTACAGCACCGTAACATATAAATGATTTTCGGGGCGCCGAGACAATTCTTCAGTAGGAACAGTGCTTGGTGGCTGGGAAGCAGTTGAAGCCGTTCGCACACCATCTTCAAGGTGCTGGCTTTCTCGATGAGTAGCGGCCCAATTGCTTCATCTAGAACAGGCGCGCCAAGTAGGGACATAGTAGACGCCGACAAAATGCGCAATCGCGGGAAACGATCAATGTATTCCGCTGTGACATTCCCCTGCGACTCAAGTGTTCCACCAAAAACAAACAGTTCACATTTGGCTTCATTAACCTGCAGTCCGATAGCACGAGCGCGTTCAATTATTCGACTGAAACATTCCGCCACTGTCGCCGGAGCTCCGCCCAGGGTCCCATCGTCCAAGAACCAGGCGTTGAGTTCGGCGTTCAACGAGGATATCAGTGGGTGTAGTGCGAGGCTGAACAGCAGCGGGCCTAGCGGGTCGCCTTGTTGGACACCGGATTCCGACGATAGTGTCAGGTCGTCCACGTAAAGGGTAGAGTGATGGCCGTAGGCTGCGGTGAGAAAATCGCTGTACTCTGGAAAGCGTTCTTTCGCTGCGGTTAAAACGGCTTCGCGAGACAAGGTGTTAAAGGCGTTTTTGAAATCCACCTTGAGAACAACCTTGGTCGTGTCGCCAGTGGATTCGATAAATTTCCTGGTCGCGTGAACAATCGCTTCTGCTCCGCCGCGCACGTTTACTCCCAATTGTTGCGGAGACAAAATGGCTGCTGAACGGTCTTTTAGTCGGGCGCAAATTATCTTAGCTGTCAACCGGCGGAGAGTCATCCCAACTGCGATGGGGCGCAACCCGCCTTCCTTCTTTCTTAAGGCGATCAGTTTGCCACCAAAAAATGCAGGGCGTACTCCAACGGGAATGTTTCCGTCGATGGCGATGTTCATGACGGTCGCCAGAGCGTCGCAAAGGGGGGCAGATTGGGCGTCCAGCTTGGCTCCGACCATATCTGCAAGGTGCTGCGGTCTTAACCCATCCGGCCCAGCGGCAGAACCCTTTGGGAAGCTGTGAACGGCAGCGAAGACTTCCTCCCGAGTAATGCGGGCGGCCGCTTGAGGAGGCGGATCGGGGCGAACTACAAGGGGTGGGTCGCTCTCGGGGTGCTTTTCACGGAGTTCTGCTAGGACGTCAGGAGTCGGTCGGAGGACAGCGTCAGTCGACATGACGATTCTCATCGCTCCCGAAATTGAGCCGTCGTCAATTTTTTGCCCAACCTTGCGCACAAGATCATCCTGGTCTGTACGCTTCTTCCTGGCGGGCGGCGAAGGTGTAGGAGGGACTGCGGCGCCACTATCAAAAATCCCGATGTTCTGCTTAACCGTGGACGCTAGGGACCCTGAATGTCCAGACTTGCTCTTTACGGGCTGACGGAGAGCCGTGGGCGCGAAGGACAGCAGCTTCGACCAAGAGTTACTGTCATTATTGGTGGCGACCTGCTGGAGAACCTTTAACAGCGACGCCCTGGCAGCAGGCCTTGCTCCATGTGGGATACGCCGCATGATTCGTTCCTTCGATGGGCGAAACGGTTCTGTTGGGGGCGTGGGCGCAGGAGCGGAGGAATTGTCGCTCGTGGAAGGTGTGACGGGGATCTTCTCCATAGTCGTGGACAACGTTTTTGGGCAAGCGTTCTTGTGGTTTCCCCATCCTCGTAGCTGCTTGCCACAACCAGAGCAAGAAAATAACTGCGACGGCATGTGACCGCTACAAAATTGAAGCACACAGGCAGAACAAGAGCTCTAGGGAACATAAGAACGCGACCGTTCAACGAGGAAACGACGTACCCACATTACTTGGGGTTCATGTAAATTCCCCCCAAGTAACATCGTCGAAGGCCCAAATTGTGTCACATGGCGATCCTTGACGAGCTCCCGTACTTCGTAACAGTAAACATCCACAGACGAAGTTTCCAGATATCGAAATGTGTGATTGGATTGCTTGATTGCAAGACTATCGTTATACAGTTTCATAGTACGACGAAGAGAGTGGGTGATTTGATTATGTAGAGAGAATTATGTAAATAATTTTCATTGAACACCAAATTTATAAAGGTCTCACAAGTGACACGCGCTTTATAACAGCAAAGACATACTTTCTCACTGATCACTGTTGATAATACTTTCTCACTGAGATATCCAGGAAGACGCTCATACGGTCAAACATCTTTCTGGCTGAATTTATTTTGCAAAATCACAATCTTTCAATTATGATAGTTCGGCTAATTCAGAAAACAAGGTGAAACAGGCACCCTTTAGACACCCTTGATTAGGTTTGTCATTAGAAGGGCTGGCAAACCTAATAGCTCATTACCTAATCCTTGGCTCTAATAAAGTGTCTTCGCGGTATCTGCACTGGTAACCTTATATCCTCCGATCGCACACATTAGCTGGAATTCGCGCTAATCGCAATTTTCACCTGAAAACTGATATCATGCAACTCTCTCGAGAGTTCCACGTGCGCTGACGGAATTCCGTACAAGGTGGCTAATTACTCAATTCTTAATCACGCACGTTGCTGTGCGCATTTCCAAATCCGGTTCGGGTACGAAATAATTGCTACTAAACTGTTGTGTTTCGTCCCATTCTGCCTGGAATACCGCAACACATGCACGAGCTTTCCTTTAAATGTTGATGATCTATTTGGTTAATGGGCGCGGCACCAGTACTGTTTCAATATTAATTTTAGCCTTAACTTCAGAAAGAAATTCTAATTAATCTGTTTTGGAGGTTTAGCAGCAACAAGCGATATTCGATGTCCTGATAAAAACTGTTCCGCTGCAGTATACGGTGATAACTCGTAAGCTCAAGATGCCGTTCAACGGAACAAACCATACTTCACCGGCGTCGGGGCCGGTTTGGCATTTTGGAGCGATTTATTCCACAGTCTTATGTATACTTACAATTTTTAATAATGCAACGGTTATACTGGCATTCCTTCGCAATCGCAGTCTACGTTTAAACGCTTTCAGTTGCTATTTAACAAACCTAACGATCGCTAATCTCTTTCACGCGGTGTTTTATAAGCCAGTAGAGATAATTTTCCTGTTGTCGCCGGACACCTTGCACAGTGGACCATTCTGTGCAGCATACATTCACTTGGTGTACCTGTTCAACGCCATGATGATGCAGTCGCATGTTTTGATCACCACCAACCGCATCTGGGCGGTCAGTTTTCCGTTGTTCTACCAGCGCCACCATTCTACTAAAACCGCTCTGCTTTTATGCGTCGGAATGTGGATAATTTTCTGCTTATTTTTACTGCCCGGTTTACTGGTTGACGCGACGATTCGCAATACCGCCGACAATGTTAACTGCCTGATGACTACGGAAGGTCATCCGCTACAGGAGAAATGGAGTATGGCTATTGAATTCCTGCTGTACATTCTCCCGGTTTTTATTATTCTATTTGCCTATCCGGTGATATGTTGGAAACGCCATCAACGGCATAAAGCGCGAATGGTGATTCGGCCCCGGCTGAACACCGGCGAAGGTGCCGTTGTCCCGTCGCTGGCGAAGGCGTCGCGGAGAGATTCCTCGGATGGCATATCCACCGCTGACAATTCGCCGCAGCAGCGAACGTCAACGTCCAAGTCGTTCACGGTGTTGACGCTGTTGACCGTGGCGGTTGTGATCTGCTGGACGCCGCTGGTTAGTTTCTTCACGATTTCCTTGTTTGCCAAGCGCTACATTGCGGAGCTGTATGAAGTGGGGCAGATATTATGGGCGCTGGAGCCGGCATTGGATCCGGTTCTGTTTTCCATTGCGCTTAAGGATTTGCGCGTCGAAATTCGAAATTTATTTCACGCATAATTATTACGATTATTATGCCACGATTTTCCATTTTAAAATGAATATTACAGATTTAAGTAATATCATTTCTATTAATCTGAAAATTCCTGTGCGGGAAGGCGAACGCTTCATTGGATGTGGACGGGGTCACTACCAAATGCACTATAAACTACCATTAATTAAAATTTGTTTGCGTTGATACAAGTGAATTATTCATATGATATATGGCACAATTCGATGTTTTCACTTATAATTCCATTTTTGAACTAGTGATCTTAATAATCTAGCATTTGATAACCGTATCACACTTTGGTGTATTACGAAACATCTCGTTCACAATAATTGTCTTACTGTTGAAAGATAGGCTGCTGCTGTAACATCGTTTCATCAGCAACGAGTCTTATTGCCCAACTGTTTGTAGCGCCAGTTGTAGCGAAAACGTATACAGATAAAAAACCCCATCGTTCCATACTCGTACCGATTTTGCGAGTCGAACGGACTCTTTACAGTTTTTTTGCATACGCTTCTGGCATACAATTTTTTCTGGTCTGTTACGTATTTCCACTCAAACGACCAGACTGCACTGCCGAATTACGGGGTTCGATTTTTCTGAGGAAGGCATATGGCCCAGCAAAATTCTTATCGTGCTTTAAACTCTGTTCGCAAAAAATGTTGAGCGCTGCTGGCTATTATATTATTAATTTGGATATACAATAGATCTTCAAAGCAAGACTAAGGATTATCTGCATACTTCTGTCCCAAATACCACCGTCTTGAAGAAGTCTCACTTTGCAGAATTTTCGTTCAACGTTCAGAAAAAAAATCGACATAGGCTACTGTGATACCATACTGCTTTAGAAATAAAACTTTACCGTTGCAAACACCGTGAATAAAAATATGATTTCCTTAGGCTAAGCTAAGTTAACCTTTAAATAGGCCAACCTTTAAAAGCCACTCTCGATGGAATTCTTACATGTTTCACGCATTCTGCAAGGTACATATAAATGCTCTGTACTGGATACATTATACAATTCATCCTGTGCGGTCCGCGATGCAGTTTTTTTGTGAAATCATACACATACTTTTAGCTAAATTTTAGCTAAATGTAACTTGATTTACAGGTACCTGTAACCCAGGAGCATACGACCGTGGTCGACCTCGTCCATAGTTTGATCGACCAGACTTGAAGTCCCTTTGGGGTTGTCTGCTCTTGTGCCGTAATAATAATAATAATAAGAATAATACAGATACCGTAATTATCGAATTAGAAGCTCCCCCCGAAATATAAGCCCATGGGCTTAATTAAATGTTGTACAGCCCATATTAGCCAATGCCAAAAAAGTTAGTTTGAAAAATTGAGTCCCCTCCGAAATACAAGCCCATGCCCGTAACTGGAGCCCACCCCGTGAGGCGTTTGAAATATTTGTAACCCTGGGGCTCTAATTCGATAATTACGGTACTCATCATGTCCAAAAAAGCAAGGATAAGAGCTAGGCCATTTGCCAACGTCATAGCGTATGTATGCTTGAACGAACTGTGCCAACGTACCAGGCTATCCTTGCCATACTGCCGATGTTGTGATAATCTTGAATTACGTGTAAAAATCTGTTTTCTTTTCTGTAACATATTTTGGTAGCATAAACTTTGTATTTTAACTTTTTCGATTTGCTTTTGCCGTTTAACATGCAAGGTAATAAAATCAATTTTCCTGCCGTTATATATGCAGTATAGAATTTGATTTAATAATGTACAATTCTGATCAGAATTTTAAGACACTTAAATACGGCTGACAGCTCGAACTTGTACAGATACAGTAGAACTCTGAGCCCGAGAGACAGCAACCTTTAATTAGTATCACGGCACAGGTACAAACTAGTAACTGCGCACCAAAACAAAAGTATTAAAACACCACAACTGCGTTAAATTTCGATACCGAAGACTGCACCACGCCTATTATCTAAAGCATCTGCAAATAATTAGAAAAGATAGTCCAAATGGCCTACGTTATTTACCAGCAGGCCAACATGAACCAAGATGATTAGCGTGGTAATCCCGACAGTTCGTTGTCTTTCTATGTTCTGCACATTCGGCAAGATTACAACGGTGTGCGACAATCATATTCCTCGAAATAGCGGTCAGCGCGATACTCTAATCATTTCTCTACGGCGTGTTATTAAAATTTGCTGGCGTCCAAATCCCGACCTAATGTATCAACATATCAGGAAAACCGATCCGTCTAATTGTCACGAATGAGCTTTACCGTGACCAGCCCAGACCGCTAATAACCTACAGTATGTGCTCAAAACAAGTAAGTATTGCATGATCTTTTGGCTGTCGGCCAAGAGTTAGCAATTAAGGCGACTCCAGTGAAGCGAGCGTCAGCACAAGCAAACAACCATTTTACCTGGAAGCGTAAACAACCTCAGTTCATTTTTCAATGCGAAAACCGATGCAACGCTACCAGCTATTAGCGTAGCTTATTTATGGCAGAAACTTCCAAAAGACGGAAGCGACCTTTTCCAGATAAGAGATAAATTTCTAATTTTGCCCAGTTAGTTGTTGCACTACTGGCAGCCTTCGAGTAATCTTTAAATTAAGCCAACGCGTGCTGTTTTTCTTGGATGTTTCTTTATTGTATGAAAATTTTAGTGCAGACGTTTTACGGCTTTCGTGACTGTATTTCTGCCTGCACTTGGTTTGCCATAATAACTATTGCTAAATCGGTCGTCACGGTTTACGAGCTTGCCGAACAATGATGGTATCAAACTATTCTCAATGGAATTCCACGGCTTCGGGGCCGGTGTGGCGGTTCGAAGCGATATATTCGACTATCTTGTGTATACTGACGCTAAGCAATAACGCGACTGTTTTACTGGTGTTCTGTCGTAACCGCGATCTCCATTCTAACGCTTTCATCTGTTATTTAACCAATCTAATGGTAGCCAATCTCTTCCATGCTGTGTGTTATAAACCTACGGAGATAATTTTTCTCCTGCATCCCGAAACGGAGCATACCGAATCCTTCTGTGCAGTCTATCTCCATTTTGAATACCTGTCCAATGCGATGATGATGCAGTCTCATATTCTGATCACTACCAACCGTATCTGGGCAGTGTGCTGCCCAATACTTTACCAGCGCTATCATTCCACTAGAACCGCTGTAATGCTCTGCTTCGCAACCTGGCTACTTGTCTGTACATTGCTCCTTCCTGGTTTATTGGTGGATACAGTATATTATCGCGGTACCGGCGACAACGTTAACTGCCTGTTGAACACACCTGGCCACATGGCGCAAGAATACTGGAATATTGCGATTGAGCTGTTGCTGTATATTATGCCGATTTTCGTCATTGTGTCCGCGTATCCCGTGATCTGCTGGAAACGCTATCAGCGCAATAAGGTCCGCATGGTGATTGTGCCGAAGAGCAACACCTTGGAGGTGGCCGTGTTTCCCTCAGTGAATTTCCCGTCCAGAAGGGATTCCCTGGATGGGGTGTACGCCGCTGATCCATCACCGCAGCGAACGGCAAAAGCCTCCAAGTCCTTCACGGTGCTGACACTGCTGACCGTGGCTGTGGTGATCTGCTGGACGCCACTAGTTAGCTTTTTTACGGTATCGCTGTTCTGGAAGCGAAACATTCCCGAACTATACGCAGTTGGACAAATACTGTGGTCGTTAGAACCGGCGCTGGATCCCGTTCTTTTTTCCATCGCGCTGAAGGATTTACGTACGGAGATACGGAAGCTGTTCCGGAAGTAATTCCACCGTAAAAAAGAAAATTTCAGTTGGCAATAAAAATTTCTTTGAATTTTATGAAACTGCTTTTCTCCAAGTGATTTTGTATTCTGACACCTTTACGTGGGTTGGTTAATGGTTATCTCACTTATCCGTAAACAGCAGATTAGTTTTGAACATTTCCATGGAAATTTCATACCGGAAGCATGCACATAAATTCATTGAAAAGATGACTGGCTCCAGAAAACTGTGACAGGCAACGTAGGCGGCTTTTGTGACATATTCAAATAGCGTTTCAAATGCTTCTAGTAAACAAAGATCGAGATTACGCTATTAGGCGGCACGAATACACAGCTCAACAAAACTGGATTTAAAGGCTGCAGCAGCTTTCTGCGAATAGACCGGTCACCAGGATCGGTGCGCGAAGTATAATTTCGATAAGTCCGCGTACGCCCAGTCTCCAGAATACGTAGTCATTCATGATTTATTCTGGCCGGTCAAATGTGCTCATATGATCTGCTTTACATAAACACTTTCTTATAATTTATTTTGTGGCCACATATGGACTGCTTATTATAAATTCTATTAATTTTGGACTGCTTATTGTAACTGCTTATTTTGGACTGCTTATTATAATTCTATATTTTCTATTAATTTTTGATTTTATGATTTTCAACGATCGCGGGAACAGATCGCCCCAATATGAGCAACAATTCAACCCAGGCGGCTTTCGCGCCGGTAACAGGTTATACACAATTGCTAATCTGGTATAGTATCTCCGATACTGTTTCTGCAGTTGGAACTCTGGCGTGCATCATCTTGTTTATCGTCATAATTAAGCAGCATAACTTTATAGACGGTATTAATCCTTTAATTATCCAGCTGCTGCTAGTGGACGGATTCAATCTAGCTGTTCCAACTGTTGTTTCGCATACCGCAGTTTACTACACTCAATCCGGCAGCCAGCGCCGCATTAACTGCCAGCAGTTCGTTATGCAGTACTTCTCAATCGGCGTGTCACACTGTCTTTCCGTCTTCATCGCCTTCAACCGCTGCACGGCCGTTATACTGCCGCATTATTTCCGCTTATGCTACAGACGTGGGACGGTAACCGCAATGATTGCTTTCAGTTGGCTGTTTCCGTTAACTGCCTCGATTTTAAACTTTTTCGATTTTTTGTCGGAGTTTGGACAGTTTTTTCCTCTGGGCTATTGCGGTATGAAGCCACACGATACCCGTTTATTCGGAATTATCAACACTTTTACAACGACCGTCCCGTTTTGCATTCAGGGATTTTGTTACAGTATTGTGGTACTGGCGTTTTGTCGCTGCAATAAAGCAAATTTAAGTCGCAAACAACGAAAGGAACGAAAAACTTCGGTTTTGCTCATTCTGTGCTTTTTGTGGTATATTGGTTGCTATTCGCTGAACAGCCTAGTTTCCACTTACATGGGATGGTGGTGGCAGACGCATTGGAATGTGTTTATGTGGGCCAGAACACTTTTGGCTAGTGGTGCTGCTGGCACACCGGTAACTACAAATAGTGCAATCATATTATTAAATTCTGCAAATGGCCTTTTCTATAAAAACTGTTAGACTGGCTTGTGATAATAAAAAAAATACTGTTGTTGCTGTCGTAGTTTATTTTGATGGTGGGCAATGTGGAATATCGATCGGGTGTCCTGCAGCTATTTAAACTGTGTCAAAATGCCGTGCGTCCAATCAGTGGTCCTGCGGATTCCGGTTCGACAAAGAAACAGACGAGGACCGAAACTAGTGCCAGAAAAGATGCACCTGGGCCTGGTTATACACAGGCTACGAAGTTTTGACATTCCACCTGGTATACGTTGCACTTTAGTCAACAAGCAGAACCTCACCGACCAGACTGGCATGGACGTCGCACCGAAAACGGGATATCGATTCGTGTAAAGAAGATGAAGACGTCAATTACAAAGCACTAGTATTCTTGTACAGCGAGTAACGTCGTTTACAAATGACGTATCCAACGGGTACAACATGACGGTCGCACTAAATGTTCGCGTCTCACCATAATATTATTTGTATATGCCACCGTTAGTCATCTAAATTCGCGCTTTACATCGATCTTAAACACTTTCCGTAATTTAGTGTTAGTTAGTATAAAGTGTTCTCCAGATTTTCAACAATATGGAACCGATTGTCAAGGCTTTTGTGTCCATCTGGCTAGTCACCGCGGGCCTGCGTTCTTTGTACGGTAACCGTACGGTGCGGCGCTGGTGCGCTGTTTGGCCAATTTTATTTACAGCTTTCTTGCTGCTTTGCGGTGCATCAAACACGAAAAGAATTTCCATGGAGATAAAAGAACGGAACCAGATTCAGTTACTGTATTTGGTGTGGGAGGTCTGCACATATTTACAACCCTTTCATACTCGATTTCTTATTCATATGGCCGAATACCAGATGGACGATATCGTAGACCGTTTCACTTTAAACGTCAACATCAACAAATGGTTGAGTCGTTCGATCTGGATGATCGGAAGTCTCGGATCCGCCTTATAGGTGTTCGCGTTGGTCGGTCTAGAGTACTGTGTGTTCGATTTGGAGGAGGATCATCCGATTGATTGGCATGTGGCAAAAAATTGTTCATCGTCCCGGGAGGGATTCCCTGTACACGCCGACATTATGTGGCGTTGATTGGATTGTTTACCGGCATGGGATATGCGACAAATGCCTTTGTAATCGGCACGCTTTCCATAATTTTTTCCCATCTTGGTTTTGCTTTCCGACAGATACGGTTGGCACTGGCTAATCTGGCCCAAGAAGCGATGCGCGCTCTCGAGGCGGACAAACAAGCCGCAGAAGTGTCCTGCATTCAGGATACAGCAGCGGCCGGTTTTAAAGGGCATCGAAACTGGCAAACCGAACGAGCCGATATTTTGCGCCAGATAAAGCGCTACAAACGTTTATTGTTTTTGCTAGAAAAATAAGCCGCCGATATGAGTGGTACTTGTTTGCACTGTTTGGATACTCGATAATCTGTGCAAACCAGCTGTTTATGGTGGTTTTTCGCGCTAGACAATCTTTGCATCCGACTGCGTCGGTCCAGCAAACATCCTATGGTCCTTCTTCATTGTCTCTGTGATAGCAGCTCTCACCACTGACCAGGTATACCTCCAGTTTTTTTACCGTCAATAAGGCATAATTTTTAATATTTTCTTTGTCTTTCACTGGCTATTAAACAGTGCATGCGCCTGATTATGCAACTTCAAAGAGGACTATAGACACATGCCGAGATATACGTACATGCGTAATCGTACCAGCACTTCAAAAGCGTATGATCTAATTGGTCTGTACGAGTACGGAATCGACTACCTGGCAGAGTATTAATTTGTGAATTTAATGCTTGTACTTAAATGGAGTGTGGTACAAACAAAAACATACTGATGTTTATCAGAATGTGTCAACTGCCTCGTGATACCAACAGTACAGTTATTACTGCCGCTGTTATCTCCTTTTATAAGGTTGCGTTTGAACTTCGAAGGGAATCTAGATAAAATACCACAAATTTACTTCTTGAGATGGCTTCGCGAACCGTGTATGTATACGTACTGCATACAACCATCTCGTGCGGTTGAGCAACCGTATGAAGCTAGCTACGCTTTTAAGTAACCGGGCGCAGTGATTTTCCGATTTAAGGTCAAAATGCAATAATTTTAGCGAGTGGGCGATAGTTGACGGGTGGATAGCCGAATATGGATTTTATAAAATGATCATCTTCTTTACATATATGACCTTGCTTAGCTTTTTCCGGCTTTATGTATTTTGCATTCGCTAAAGCAAAATTGTACTATCTTTGACAAACTGGTATGAGTATTGACAAAAATATGAGTTATGATTATGAACAAAAGTATGATGGGCGGTAGGACCAAAGTATGGTTATGATTATGAGAGCCAATATGGGTATGCATTCTGAATTAGGAGTAGGATTATGAGTATGAGAACCGTTTTTATGAGTATTACGTAGGTACCTACCTAACCCTGCGTAACGGTACAGACGTATACTGCTTACATTGTCGCGATTACAGACGTATATTGTTTATCGGTACTTCCGGTCGATCGCATGGTAATCACGCATTTTTTTACAAAACTCACCTAGTGGATATTAAGATGTGCACCGTAATAAAAGATATACTACGCTGCACGAACATAATTTGAAACTATCACATCAACATACAACTTTTTTCTATGTCGACCTAACTAAGGAAAAAAATCCATTCCAGCAACACAATTTTTTAAAATCATTTTCAACTGGGTTAAGTATGCTGGAACTTATGTTCATTGTGGAAACAGTTCATATTCATGTTAAAATTTCCAAACAGACGGATACAGTTCGCAAAAATAATCTAGTTAACCGTTTTATTTCCGTCAAGCTAAGCAGTTAATCCCGCTGTCTCTGTCAAAATGCTGACAACCCAGGTATTCTGCAGCAAATCCCATAAGTGACAGCATGTCGCCGCAAGGCATGCGCATCCGTCGCAAAGGAATAATTGATTTGTTCCAGCGTCTCTGAAATCGTCTGTAAAGCGGAACATGTTACACGTGATTCTTTTTTCTGTCAGCTATTCAAGAAATTTTCTTTGTTAGACGACTGCTAAACATCCACACATGACTCATCTGCCACGAACACCTGCAACGGATGTCCCAGTAAAGTATTCATTTCCTGCTGTATTCCCGTGACAGTGCCAAGAATACAATTGTGCTACTAACAAAGGGAAAAACTGAACCACACGGAAGAAATATCTATAACTTGTTTATGGACATCGCTTATTGTAACAATATCGGTTTATTGTACCACATTCACTGAGCTACAGTCTCACTCACGTCAGTAATCCGCGTTTTCTTATCACCGCTGGGCAACCGCAATATATACATTAATTTTGTTGTTAAATACACAGTTCAAAGTTTCGGAAATTCCTTGGTCGGACTTCCTTCCATTGATTTCATAACCGTTAATCGTTGATTTTTCTATACGGATCATTATGTAAAAACTGCCGAAGGCTACATAATCACTTTCCTTGTTGTTCACCAGATCCCTGTTGTTCGTATAAGAGCCGTAGAGTGCTTACTTTCACCACGGAGATACGTTCTGAACGCAAGTTAACAAATTTCCCGTAGAAGAATCTCAATACCGGCAAAAATGATGAAAGCCGTAGTAATTATGTGCCTTGCCGCTATGGCGGCCGCCCAACAGCAGTTTGTGTGGGATTTATTGAAGCCGGCGCTGAATGCGGCGGAAGTACAGGCGATCCTGGCCAACCGCGATGCCAACCAGTATCCTAACTACAACACCATTCCGCAGACCGGCTTCAACTGTGCCAGCAAGAAACAGCCGGGATTCTATGCCGATACGGAAGCCCAGTGCCAGGTGTTCCACCGCTGCGACATTAACGGAAACCAGACCAGCTATCTGTGCGTTAACAGCACAGTCTTCAACCAAGTGACGCTCATTTGCGATTATTTCTTCAATGTCGACTGCCAAAAGTAAGCCGCAGTTTATTCTGCAAGGTCTTTTTATTTCAAAATTATCCTTAAGGTTTTTCGCAAAACATTTATTTTATTATTTCGCCAAACATATACATTAATATTTTTTTCATTCCTTCCATAATTCTTATACGAGTATACTAAATAAAACAGTCTAAACTGAAGGTACAATGCCTGTAAAAACAAGTTGATGAGGCGTGACCGCGGACCGACAGGTCGATTTCAATTTATTTTTGTCGTCCATTGTACTGTATATAGCAGTATCTAAAAATATTTAACATCAAAAAAATATAATTAGTTATAAATTAGCCTTTTTCTCTACTGGCCTGCAACTGATACCTTTGATTTCTAGTTTAAAAAGTCAAAGAAATGAAATAGTAGTACTCTGTACAGTATACTAAATCACCAATTCTTATATTCTTATAGTTAAACCATATATATTGTTTAACTATATATATATATATATATATATATATATATATATATTAATATATATATATATACTAATAAAATAGCCAGAAGAACAAATGAAAATTTGAATTGCTGTGCTGATATAGACTTTGTTCATTGCAGATTTGCCTCGTACGAGAATTTCGCGAATTCCCGTCTTTACACTGACCAGCCTCTCTTTGACACACCACCTAATGATTATGTCCCGCCCGGTGTGGGTGCCCCTCAGATTTTGGCTGCGCAGCCTGCTGCTCCACGTGCGGCCGCATCCCGTGCCACGCCCAAGAAGGCAGCCGCGGGCGGCAAAAAAGGAGTCTCTGCGTAGTGATTTGTACCTTTACGATTAACGAAGCAGAAAGCTCGCTGATGTTAATTCGATATAACTGCAGATCTCGATCAGAATCAATAAAAATCAAGTACATACGTTTGCATCTTGATCTAAATCATCGTTAAGAAAAAAATCCCCACACGGCTAACTGAAACCATTACGTATACACTGTACACGTAATTATTGTGAGCGATTAATTTTATTGAACCAGCTCCATCGGCCATGTCTTTGTTGTTTGCTTGAGAAAAAACATACAGTCGCGTAATATAATACCCAATCGAAAGAAGAAGCGCAATGTAAATGAAAGTCGAACGGTCAAGACATAAGATTATGGCTGAGTTTAGAATGGCACCCGCCTAGATAGATGTTAGACCAAAAAAAATTATAGCAGTTCATCTTGGTAGCTTAGACAGTTAAAGAAACTACAATATTCAGCGAATGCGAATTTACGATATCGTTTTGGTTGAAACATAGTACTAGTAACCTGCAGACGACTAGAAAGGTGACAAAATTCGCCGCAATTTGCGGTTAAGTACAAGGATCGTTATGAGTACTGTATTAGGTACTGTACCTACCTAGCCGTTACGCAGGTTGTCAATAAGTGCAAGAAAGAATCTGCTTACATAGCGGCATACTGTCAAAGCAAGAATCATATTGTAAATACGTATGTCTGGCGCATGTAGAAGCCATTTGGTAATTATGTATATACTGGCACACGCAATTTCGTAAATTATTTAGTAAAACAGAATTAGAGGGCATACAAAATCCAATGTAGCGGTCATGGATACAAAGCATGGGTGATTTATTTTACGCAGATAAGAAACCACGTTTGCGTGACAGGGAAATCCCCAGGCAGAGCGCAAAATGATATCTTTTATAGTAAGTATGGTAATGTAAATGTACTACCCGGCACCTCATCGTATTGTTGATATACAACACTGCATAACTGATATTTTTGACATAAAAACAGTTATTGCTCTTATCAATCGGCACAGTTTTTTTGGGTCTGGTAGCCGTCTTACAACAGCTGATCGGGTGTAGCCGAAATTGTGATTAATTTGGCATTTGGGAAATGTACTGCGCATAATTGTTCTTGTACGATCTAATTATACACTACGACTTTTGTACAACGGATCAGCTTGCGGTTTAACTGTACATTCTGATCAAAGGATCACCCACGTATCCAAATATCCCGATGGTAAAACTACGTATTTCAACTACATATTTCTCAGAGGTGCCACCTTTTCTAACGTTTGCACGTAAATGTACAAGTACAAGTCACAAATACATGGCAATCTCACCCGGAAAACAAAGTCAGCGGGATTAAACGCTCTCAGCCAGTCTGCATGAAGGCATGTTCCTGGAATTGCGATCCACAGTACATCCCCGAAGAGTGTTTAAGATGAGGATTTATGATTTGCATATCTATGTATAAAATTGAGACGGAAGTGGTGATAGCACTAACTATGTAAACTGGCTCATTTTGAAATCCTTGTACCTACTATCAAGATATTTAAGGAGGTGGGTGATCCGTTATTCAGAAATGTAAGGGGTACAGATCAGTAGATCCGTTGCTGAGAAAAATCGAAAATTATTCTAGATTTAGATAATCGACCGAAGCGAATCGAAGGTTCTCTATGTTCAAGAAATTAGGACTTTTGTCTGTCCGTCGGTCACGCTCCTAAAGCACTTATTAACAACTAGGGCTTAGCACCTACTAAGCACTGTTTAGTTCTCTAGCGAAAAATCTTCTACAGTAAAAACAGTCTCTTTTCTATAAATCTTCGGTTACGTACAAGTCTGTACAGTAGGCATGGCAATGTTCTGTATTGAAAGACCGTCTTAGTATTAATCAGACTGAATGGCCCCTTTTTCACAGAAAATTTAGAAATTAACAGATGCAAAAAGGTGAACATGTGCTTCGTTTAGTGGCTAACGGTGTTAGGTTAGAAAAGAACCGCCTATTGGGCGTAACGCCAGTAGTTAAAACAAAAAACGAGTACATATTTCGAAAATGCGTCAAAATTTTGAAAAAAACGATTTTTAAAACAGATGTCATCCTTACTTCCAAATTAAGAGCAAAAATTTTTATAAGACGAAAGCTTTTGCGGTGGAGACTAAGGGCATACACGCTCTTGAAACTTTCTTTCTGCATTAAGGGAAGTGACCCGGTACTGACAACAATGACTCAGTGAGACAGGGGAAAGCGCGCCGGCGCCACTGACACATGTGATTTTAGGTAAGGTTACCTTCGAAGCTGCTCTGAGGGTGGCGACACTGAATCGACCTTGAAAATGAGAACGGCGGTAGCGCTATCTTAAAACAAAGTTTATCACCAATATTCTCGCTTGATGAGCCGTAAAGCGAGGTTTGGTCACAAGCAGATTACGTTATTGCAGTATTCGCTGCATACTTAGCCCATGATGCCACTATAGTATGCAGTGATAATGTTGTTGCTGGAAGTATTTTATTGTTTTAATCTATTTTATTTGTCTCAGAGTACTGATTGAGGCTTAAGTGTTCGGGATGATTTAATATAGTAGAGAAAACGATTTGTCGTTTCTTTTAGCAAAGTTATAGTTAATAAAAAACACTATCTATAGGTTAATACTTCAAAGGTACATCGGTGTTGGGTGCTTTTGTCGCCCGCTTAGATCAACCACAGGTTATTCAATTACGTTGCCAATGTTTCCATTTACATTATGTACTACGCAGCATTCATATTGCCAACTTTTTTTTCGTCTTTAAAGTATTTTTTTCTCCAAATAAAGTAACAGAAGAAGTTTTATTTATACTGTTGATTCACTTGATTGCAAAAATTGTTTTGATCATACCAACAAGGGCGAATTAAACACCCAATCGAGCATCTGCATTTAACGTGAAGTAAGGCCAATATTTATAAGTCGGGTCATGATTTGACAATGTCTTTGATTTCGCCCTGTTGTCAGCTTCATTTCACGTCAATAAAACACTTACCGTAGAACTAGTTTGCTTTTCTTGTACGGTACAAGAACATTTCCGTGTATTGTACGTCTGTCAGAAGCCAGAACTGGCTCTGGTAGTGCCTACCGAGTAGGGTGTTTACGATATCGATATCACAAACACGCTAGCGTTTTATCGATCAGCCTTTGCCCTCCGTAAACCGAAGCATCAACTACATTCGCCCATGAAATTACAATAGTATTAAAGCTAACGGGGTTTGGCCCTACTCTAGGCCCACATTAATGCTGGCATTCCGCTCTTTGGCCATGTGTTGTTAGTACTTGTTACTATTCACTACCCACGAAATATCAGTAAACGCAATGGGAAAGTTTCGCAGGAGCTTTCACAATTTCCTTAACAAAGATCGGGAATGGGCTTATCAGGAAATCATAACCGAAGCCGTTGTGGTTCTTTGGTTTGCTGCTCAGCTTTCCGTAAAATTCGGCTCGCGCATATTTGCCGAATGGCAGACAAGTCGTACCGATCCGGCTATATCGACCCAGCTGGACCGGTTCCTTGGATGGATCGGACTGGTAAATCCTTCACATTTCATTTTTCTTTAAATTTCTTTCGCAGCATTTGGCAATCATCGCTAAAAATGGTAGATTAATAGCTATGAATATTAGGAATAAACAGCCCTTGAATTACAGGAAATGACTGGATGTGTTTGGAATGATGTAGTATCGTTCTGGAAGGCACCTGACGAAATTGCCGTTATACAATCAGTGGCAACGCTTTTCACGTCGCCCACGGTAGGAACCATGGGGTACGTCGGTGCCTTCGTGACCGTCTGCACAACGGCCATTCTTACCATCTCCGTGGCCGGCTCCTTATACGTCTACCGTAACTGGCGGTATCCGCGCTTTCGTCAGCATCTGCGCAGCTGCAATAAAATCACCAGACTGTTCGGCTATGGAAAAGACGACAACGGGGACTACACCGTCGGCTTAGCCTATGAAACAGTGTCCTGTGGGCTCTTAGTGATAGCTGCCACGGGTGTCCAGTTGTGCTGCGCTGCGGTTGTATGGTTCCTCTTATGTGCACTGCCGGTTGTGTTGGTAACCGGAGCCGTTATGGCGGTAGTCATCAACATTTACGGACTGATAGCGCTATTCCCGTGCTGTGTAATTTCCGTCTGTTTCCTGGCTGTTTACTGTTCGGGGAGAATCTATGGATTATGGATGCAGGAGACGTACTTTATGCGGATACATCGGAAAATTAAGTATGTAAGCCAATCAAAGATTAAGTAAGCCAATTATTATAGATGCATGTTGCGCTGCTGTGTTGAGATTTTTCATGCAATTGTTTTACTGGAAGTGGCTATTCTCACTGCCCTAACATCACCTTTGGCTACTGACACCATCTTTCACCACTTTTTGGCTATTCGCACGAACTTTTTTAAAATAAGTTTTACACCACTTTTGGCTGTTTTAGCCCCTACCCAGTAGAGCCTCACCGCATTCCCAATTGGCTACTCCCTATTCTTACTGGCTAATCTTTATAGATAACTTCTACAGTTTAAGTTGCTACGAACGTCAGTCGGCATCATGTTGTACAGTGTGTCGGATAAAACTTTTGAACAAAATTGTGCAATGCAGATCTGTATGTAATCCACTTCTGGCGGAAGAAATGCGGATTTATTCGGAGAAAACTAAGTACTACAGAAGTAATTCATTGATACAACCGTTGAGAAAATAATGTTCCGACATTGCTTCAGGACTTACAGCAGTGAAACAGTTTTATCGAAGCTTTCTTCCGGTCTACAAAAAAGCCGTTGCAATTCTCACGACATTTGTGACCGCTGTAAAATGCAGTAAATACAATCAAGAGGTGGAGGTGCGAGGTGGTGGCAATAGCCACACCCTTTTTATTTTGATGATGCTTGATGCATAATTATTGCGTTGATGCTAGGTGTTGGGTTGTTTCGCCAATGTGAGCGCTAGTAGAACGTGGCGCAGCTGTTAACGAAGCGGTCGGTACATGGTACCAAATTGGTATTCGTAAGGGAAATTTCGCTTTCGTGCACTCGCAAAGCCATTTTAGTATTATGTAGCCAAATAATTTGCGTGCCTAATTATGAAAATCGTTTGGGCTCACCATATCCGCTTGGTGAGTTATGAAAGATTATATACTCGTAGAATAGCAAAATGTTAATGTTAATGTTAATGTTAATGTTAATGTTAGACAAACACGTGTACCGGAAGTCTCATTAAAAACCAATGCTATTTTTGTGTTTCACAAAAACATACATTAATATGAAGCGCGATCTTACCGAACCAGATTTCCAAAGTTTTTTTTAACATTTCAACAATGAGTTCCACATTTTTGAAATTCGTTTTAAAATAATTATTTGTACACATTACGGTGTACGTACAGCTATAGCCATACGTAGATTAGAAACCGTATGGTCAGCTGCAAGACATCTTCATTCATGTTGCATTCATTTTTCACTTTATTATCGCGAGCGGACCAGAGCGGAGAGCCACTCTCCGATCATGTAAAAGCAATTAAATAACATTTTCCCCGTGCGTTTTGGTAATTTAACATGTGGTCGTGGTACTGCTGAACCTGCGGTTGTTTTATAGGAAAACGTTTGGGGTGGATATGCTGGTGGTTGAGAAATATTCCGACAATATGATAGAGTCAACACCGGAAAAATGTTTCCCGTCCGCCAAAATAACGCCGGCCGCCAAGAAGTCAATGCCGTCGTTTGAATCAGTGTTTCTGAAGGGATTCTTGTTCTACGCCGTCACTGCGGGTATAGTAAGTAATACGGGCCCAATCTGGGAGGGATTTCCTATTATTCGCTACGGGATGAACAGCCTGGGCTCGCACTGGAGTAGTGGTTCCGCTGCATCATCCGCGTCCCCGGCCTCCAGTAAAACTTACTGGACTGAAAGCAACCGCACTACTCGGTGCAGAACCTACGGAACGGTAGGTATTCGAATGTTACTGGTGACCGCTTTTATGAATTAAGCGAGTTCCAGAAACCGAAAGCTTAAGTAAATGTAAATGAATGGATGTTATTTCAAAATCAGCAAGCGTTCGCATATTTTAAACGAAATGGAATATAAAATTTACTGTTTGCTACGTTACAAATTCTTGGCAAATTTTTATCAGCTTGTTGGGAAGTCCAGATTCATATGACCCTGCAACCAGTTGTTGCGTTTTCATACCGGTGTGAGCAAATTATTTGGTTGCTGAATATCATAAAACAACGAGAAAAATATCTGGAATGTGCGAGAGAACGAGTTTACGTGCATGGACACGCCATTTCCTTAAGGGATTTGGCCCGGTACATAGTACCAAATTTGTATACATCCACGGCAACTTTCGCTGTCGCGCACTCCCAAACACGTTTTTGCATTGCTTTATGATATTTTGTAGCCAAAGGATTCGTATACATAGGCGAAAAAACCGTTTGTGCGCGCACATTCCGGTTCGGGAGATGTTAGTGAAATAAAATTCCCAAAGTTTAAACGCGCGGAGGTGAACCAAAAGTCTTATTATGGACCGATGCTCTTCAAATTTTGCAAGAAAACGCACATTACTATAAAGATCGTTTTGGTACCGAACCAGCTTTCTACCATTTTTTTCAAATTTTAAAATGAATTTCAAAAATTTTAAAATTAATTTAAAATTTGAAAAAAATGGTAGAAAGCTGGTTCGATACCAAAACGATCTTCATAGTAATGTGTGTTTTCGTGCAAAATTTGACGAGCATCGGTTCATAATGAGACTTTTAGTGCACCCTCCGCGAGTTTAAACTTTTGGAATTTTATTTCATTAATAACTCCCGAACCGGATGTTGCGCGCGCAATCGGTTTTGACGCCTACGTATACAAATCTTTTGGCTACAAAATGTCATAAAGCAATGCTAAAAAGTGTTTAGGAGTGCGCGACAGCGAAGGTTCTCGTGAATGTACCCGGATTTGGTACTGTGTACCGGGCCAAATCCCTTAAGAAAAACAGAAACGGCTTCTATTTTTTTTCGAATGATACACACTATAAATCATATTTCTAATGCGTTTGATTGTCGGATTTCAAGAATCTGGGCGCCCGGATCGCAATGCTGTCGTTCTGGGTGGATCTCGCTTCTGACGAGCTGAAATCAGCCGACACTTACAATGCACCAATTATTATCAGCTTTAATCCCGGCTATCCGTCCATTGTTAGTGGAAGTTTTGTGCTGTGGAACGGCCTGGTGTTGGCCGCCGGTTGTTTACCTCTTCTGCTTTTGGTGCTGGCTGAAGCTCTCACTATTCTACTTGGGATTTCATATATCGTTTGGCGAATCCTCGAATCCAGCTGGGATGCATGCCGCAACCGGAAGGACGCAAAAATCCAAAGGTGAAGATTATAGTATATTGTAATTTTAGTCCTGTAATAAAAAAAGGGACTAAAAAGGTGGAGTTTGGTCAGTCAGCCCGCAGCTCCAAACCTCAGCATTGAGGTCAACAAACAGTGCGCAACAGCACTGGGTTCTACCGGGTGGCCGAACAAAATGGCCGTCTGCTTTATGACGTCCTACACTTAATTGACGTTATCTGAGTTTCATTCGATAGAGCATTGCTTTTAACATAAAAAAGTAGGAAATTTCTTACACCCAAGAGATGAAGAGAGCCTATATAAAAAGCCCAAAAATCTTACGAAAACTGAAACTAGAAAAACTAGCAAATCCAAGCAAGTTAAGAAACCAGAAGCATAAAAAGCCTCAGGACTCGATAAATGGAACCATGCTGAAATAACTGAGAAAGGAACAACTGAACAGCCATTTATTTTTTAAGGGGAAGTACGCTGGCTTTCTTAAAGTTTTGCATAAAAATGCATATCAGCATCAACCAGATTTCCACCATGCATGATTCTGGGAATTTAAAACAAATTTCAAAAAATTTGAAAAATATTTTGCAGTTTGAAGAAAATGGTGGACACCTGGTTCGGTGTAAAAACCATCTTTAAGTCAATGTGTAAAACTTGAAGAGGACTGGTGGATAGTAAGATGTTGCGGGCCCATGCTCAAACTCGGACTTGGACTACTAAAACTCGGACTCGGACCACACTTGGACTTCTAAACTTGGACTCGGACTCTTCGACTTGGACTTTTCTTGGGTTTCTTAGCTTTCTTAGGCTTCTTAGGTTTCTTGGGTTTCTTAGGTTTCTTAGTTTTCTTATGTTTCTTAAGTTTCTTAGGCTAACTAGTTTATTTCTGAGGTTTCTTAGATTTCTTAGGTTTCTTAGGCTAACTAGTTTATTTCTGAGGAGAAGTCCAAGTTAGAAGTTCTGATGTCGAAGTCCAAGTTAAGAAGTTCGATTTAGAAATCCAGGTAAGGAAGTCCAAGTCCAAGTTATGAAGTCCAAGTGTGGTCCAAGTCCAAGTTTCAGCAGTCCAAGTCCGAGTCCAAGTCCGAGCTTGAGCGCGGGCCGATGTTGCGCGCACAAACGGTTTTCACATCATGTACGTATATATGTACAAATCACTTGGCTATAGAATGCTACAATGAAATGCAGTTAAATGGACAGTATAAAAGTGAGCGATAACGAAAGTTTTGTACATATACACTAATTGGATTAAAATGGGTACCTAATACCTTGTACCAGTATGTTCTCCTTTACGCACCATAACCACCATCAGCAGGCCATTCCGATCACCATGATCGGTACTTTTACCACTTCCACTATCGCTACCAAAGCTAAAATTGCATTCAATTTATTTAGAAAGCTCCCTTTTTCGCATTGTCAACCCATTATCAATTTCCTAATGGACATCGCTGACAAATATGGATCGGAGGATGCCGGCGACGGTGCAGCGTACGATTTCGACGTCAATAAAAAACCTTTCACTGACACCATCGTCCGGTGCACATCTAACGACCGGTGTTCATCCAGCCAACCGGCATTTTGTGTCTGTTCGACATGGGCGTACACAGTGTATTGCATTGTGACGATGGTACAGGCGTTGCTGGGCTGGATGCTCTTGCCGTTTCCGGTGCTGGTGTTCGCGTTACCGGAGCGATTGCAACTTCCTGGCATTCTTCTGTTCTTTTCGGCTTTGGCAGTGTATAAGTACCGCCAGTTCATTCCGAGCGCTCTGAAGGATTTCAGCACCTGCTTCCGTAACAGGGACAAAAGGACCAAACGGTGCCCAGGCTGAGATTCAACGCGCCAGCACTACAGGTAATTGTACAGAAAATACTAATAGCCAAGATTCTGTTGGTTGCAACGTTTTGTATTCCAGATTTGCGACACCTGGAGGAATTTAGCTGCTGCTTAGCCCGTTTTACTGAATGACCAGCGCTACAAGAAACCGTTTAATGGATTATTTGTGCAATTTGAAATGTAACTTTAATTGAAATTTACGCTTTTAATTGAATAGTTGCCCTTGAAAAGCGACATTTTTCAGTTTGTGTCTATGTCTTCCGGCACAAATATGTCTTTTATTTGTGTATGTACCGTGACAGCACCTGGTCACATTGCGTGGCTGTCGAGTTTTTACCTGCGAGAACAGTTCCGGTATGCGACTACCCCCTCTTCGGTTTCACAACTCAGTTAAAATTTCGTTTTAAAACTGATTCTCGACAAGCACAAAGTTTTCTATCGTTTACTTTATTTTGAAAGCATATTAAATGTTTGCACGCACAGCATCGTCAGCTCTTTCGTTCCTAAAACGACAAAGTAATATGAGGCTAACAAAGTGCAATTCGGTCTTCAAAAAACATTCACCCAATGCTCATAACATGTCTGGATCAGCGCAAGAACGGTCTTCATTTGCTATGTGTATTTACGGTACTTGCAAAATTTGAAGGAGGTCGGTTTATAATGAGACTTTTGGGTCTACGCCCCTAATTGCAGCATTCAAACTTTTTGGAATCTGTTAGCCTCATAACTCCGCAACCGGAAGCTGCGCGCGAAAACGGATTTCAGGCTTATACATGCAAATCATTTGGCTACAGGGTGTCACAGTACAATCCAAAATAGTGTTTGGAAGTGTGCAAAAGAGAAAGTTTCCGTAGGTGTGACCGAATTTAGTTCCACCAACCGCGTTACGTCCCTTAAATTAGCAGCGGCGCAGTATGGCCTCCCTAAGCTGCAGCGGTAAACAACCAAAACAAAAATGAAATGTTCCAAAAGCTATGAATTTTATAAATGCACAAGTGGAAGGTGTTACCTATATGGTTGGTAAATAATGGTTTGTTGAATATCTTTCAGTTTCTGAACGAAAAAGCGTTGCCGTTAATAATTACGTATAGAGGTTTTATGCGTTATATATGTTTATGTGGTAGCTACAATTTCATGAACTTCATCTTTATCTTTGCGCAACAAAGCTTGATGTTTATGATTATGCGGAAAACCTAATGTTTCTCTGTTAAATACCTAACCGGTCAGCACAGAACAAGCTCGATTTTCTGCTTAATCGGAGCTATGCAGTAGGTTTGAACAAAGATATACGGTTTATCAAGTAGATCTATTTCATATATTATTATACGTAAATAGCGGTTGCCGTTCCGCGCTTCTTAAAGGACCACTGGTGTGATTTAATTATCTGTCTGATATACACGTTCATACTCTGTAGTGTGTAGTATTTCCGTGGCCTCCAGTTTCCCGTCCTAAAATATTTAACAGCGCAAAGTATTCGCAAGCTGACATCTGCAGTTTATACGAAGTGCACCCATACTAAATAGGGTACCAGTGCCAATATTTTTAAAAATAATAATTTATTTCCACTGGTTTCGTGGAATTTACGCAAGTCAGATAACCGGCACGGTATTTTACACGAAGTCTGATTGCGTTCTTAGTTAATCGCTCATAACTCAAAGTACTAGTATAGTATGTGTGTTACGATTTTAATCGATAAGTGGTGTTATAACTAAATGTAAGATATATTCAAATCAAGAATAGGATTACAAAATATTGTTGATGTTTTATTTGTTCAAAGCAGTTTTGCCTAATGATTGTATATTGGTAAATTTGGATCCCTCTTTTAAAGTGTTTTTCCAAATTGTTTCCGCATCTTTCATTAACATGAAATCAAGGATATATTATGAATAACATCTTAAAAACATTTTGTAAACGTGAGCTTTCCAAGAATGCAGTGCAATGCAGATGACACATCGGTATATTCGTATGGCTATCTGTTTGTTTTGTAACTTCAGAAGGTCTTATCAGCAACAGCAAACGAAGTTCAAATTTTGAAAATGTATTATGTTACAATTTTTGGCTGCTTAACAGCTGGGAAAAAAATGCCAGTTTGACAATTCAGTGTAGCTTACACATCCCACTTGCAGGAAACCGATCGAAACAGGTTAGCTGTTAAATCCTTGGTCAGGGATTTGCTTTCAAAAAACCTACTTGCGGATTTCACGAGCAATATTCGTGCGCAATTTCCATTATTCCGTGCAATCACTGCAATGGACAAACACAGCTGATATTGCTGCTAATTTTTACAGTAAACTGCTGTTCCCTACAGTGAAAAAAAAAGAAACTTCCCTTTTCTCGGAACTAAGTCAGATAAATTATTCTACTTACACTTAGCGAAAAGCAGGAATTTTTAATTTCGGAATGGGTAACTTCAGTTTACCGCTTGCAGGACATCCTTGAAATCTAGCCAATCTTTCAAATTAATCCATAAAGAAATCCGTTCTTAAGATAATCTTGATTTGATTCAAAGTATCTGTGTTAAAACACAGATACTTTATTTAACACAGATTGTTTACACAGAAAATCTGAACAAGCTGGTTCATCATGAGACTGTTGATGAAGAACCGGTTTGCTTAACAACTCATTGAAATTGTAGATCGCCTATAACTCTTCAACCGGATGTCGAGTCCACAAACGGGTTTAACTTCAGTATACTCAGATCATTTGTCGGCAAAATGTCATGAAAGAATGTAAAAAGTGTGGGTATATGCGAAACCGAAACTTTTTGCTTGCAGTTACTCCTACCGGGCACTTTACTTAAAGCTGCAGTAATCCCAAAGGTCAGTTCTGTGGCTTCAGTGTTTACCTGTTCATACTTAGTACATTCGATGCCTTACACATTCAAAATTAAATCCTGCCGCCCGCTTGCCCTAATGGCTGTTACGACCTTTATACTAGTATTACATAAAATTATACTCTGCCGCAACTGCCTGTTAGTCGGAATAGCGACTGGCTAAAACCGCATGCTAATATTGTATTTTTAATCAATATTATAATGTTCTCGGTTCGCGCTTGAGAAATCCCTTTTGTTTCTCAAGCGCGAACCGAGAAAATTATAATATTGATTAAAAATACAATATCAGCATGGGGTTGGTTTCCTGGCACAGAATTGTTTGGCGGGAAGTGGTATATCCATCCAGATATTTCGGGAAGAATTTCCTAGTGCATCCAGTTGAAACGGTGCAAATAATGTCTCGAAAAGATGCCGTGCAAGGTCTCAAGTGGATGCACAAGGAGAATGCCCAGAGGTCGTTCCATGTCCCGCTACCGCACCTGCATGTTAACGTATTGCATTGAACGACTGTTACGCACATAAACAGTTTACTATTCACATACATATCTTATATATTTAACGCGAACCGAGAACAGTACAATATTGATTAATAATACAATATTAGCATTTGGTTGGTTTTCTGGCACGGAATTGTTTGGTGTGAAGTGGTATATCCGCCCAAATGTTTCCGGAAGAATTTCCTAGTTCATCCAATGGAAACAGTATAGGTAACGTCTCGAAAGCATGCCTCGCAAAATCTCAAGTGTATACACTGGAAGAATGCCCAGAGGTCGCTCCATGTCCCGCTACCGCACCTGCATGTTAACGGATTGCATTAAAAGACTGTTACGCATATAAACAGTTTACTACTCATATATATTATATATTTAGCGCGAGCCGAGAACAGTACCATATTGATTAACAATACAACATTAGCATGTGGTTGATTTCTGGCACGGAATTGTTAAAGTGGTATTTCCGCCAAAATGTTTTCGGAAGAATTTCCTAGTGCATCCAATGGAAACAGTATAGGAAATGTCTCAAGTGGATGCACTAGGAGGGCGTCTGCCGGTCGTTGTGGCCTTTAAACTGCCCAAAGCGATCGAATGCCGCCAAAACGACCGCCTTAATTTTCCCACCGTTTTTTTGCGTTTTCTGTAGCGAACAAAAGGACTTTGTACGTAGGTGTTTCTTCCTGAGTGTAAAATCGCATCCGGCATCTTTTGCCGGCATTTAATTTCGTATCCGGTCGTTTCTGTTGGAGTGTAGTTATGTGTCTGTTCGTCCTGTCGTTGTGTCAGTTCCCATCCTGCATTAGGGCCGTTTTATTTTGTGACTTTTAGCTCGGACGATGTCTTTCTTTTCAGTCTTGTTGGTGCGCCTTACACCTAAACTGACCGAAATATAAAAAAACCGAAGTACAGATGTGGCCATTACACATCTTTCCGTTAGCAAGGTTTCTGTTTGCTTTAAAATACATTGCCTCGTAGGAAGACGGCCGAAATGGGTGGAAGCCGAATTAAACTCCAAAGTGCGCGCAACTTCCGGTTGCCGAGATATGGCAAACTAAAATAGGTGAAAGTTTAAACGCGTTGTTGTGTACTAAAGGTCTGATTATTACCCGAGCTTCTTGAAACTTTGCTGTAAAAATACACGTGGTCCTGCAGTCGAAATTAAATCAGTATCATGTCCATAGCATTTTTTTCCGATTTCAGTTTCACAAATTTTCAGCTTCATTTTAAAATTATGGTAATGTGCTATGAAGCTGAAATTGTTTCACTTTTGACTTTATGATAACGTATCTTTTACAGCAAAGTTTCCAGAAGATCGGGTAATAACCAGACTTTTGGTACACAACAAAACATTTAAAATTTTCGCCCATTTTATTTTGCCATATCTCGGCAACTGGATGCTACGTGTGCAAACGGTTTTCCGAGCAATGTATACAAATTATTAAACTTTAGAATGACATAAAGTAATAAAGTATTACTAAAAAGTCATTCTGAATGCTCGAAAGCGAAAGCTTTAGTACAGATATACCGTTCTTAACACCATGTACCGGGCCATTTTCCTAAACTTCAATTAACGTTGTTAGTTGTTAACTCATATGAAACGACAGTTTTGTATGTTTTCGATGAATGGTTCACAAAAAACGGCATGTGATACACAAATGTGCATGTTGTTTCATGCTAATCGCTTTCATCGCTGACTGATAACGTCGGGACTCGGTATAGTTATAACTTTATCTCGTTAATCGCGAATATTGTCATGATTTTTGCAAATGTCGTTCAGAAAGGTCAAAAGGCATCTGTTAGCAACTGAGTTTCTAAACATAAATATATGTATGTTTTATGTGTAAGCTCAGTTACGTGTAGACATTTTACATAGCGATTTGCTTTATGAGAAAGATTTCTCGTTTTCTTTATTCTGTGAGTAGGTTTAATTAGCGCAAACGCAAGTCAAAACATACGGTATCAAGGAACTAGATCTATGACACAACTACAAAAAAAGCTGAGACATCGAGATCGGAAAAACCAGAACTTAATAAAA